AGCCTGCGTGCTTCCTTTGACTCCAAGGTAATTTTTTTTCTTGCTCCTTTCTTCTGTCAGTCCCTTTTTTCCCCAGCCTTCCCAACAGGAGCTGCTGTGTGTGTAGTTGGGGGAAGAGTCTGGAATGAGTCTGGTAGTTACTTTCCTTATATTGGGGTGCACTGTGGGCACCCACTGACAGACAATCCATGGGTTTGTCCTACCATGCTGCCTCTGCCTCAGCAGTCTTGCCTGGCACCTCAGCGTCTCACTGACATTGGCCAGTCCTACTTGGACCCCGGCTGACTTGCTTGGGGCCTGGTCACCATGCCTGGGTCCTATTCATGTGGCTAGAATCCTGCTCTCAGATAACTCCTATGCTCCAAACACACCTCCATCCACCTGCTATCTAGTGTCACCAGCTGACCCATCCTTCTCCCTGTGTCACTTGGATCCTGACAGCTACCTGGACTACTTCTGAATCCAACAGGGGCCCCAGATGCCATGCCCTGGCCTGCCTGGCACCTGCTCAGGAGACCAGGCAGGTTTCCCTAGGGTTGGTTCTAATTTTTTTCCCCATCCTCCATCTCCTGCTCAGCCTGCCTCCCACCTGAGCTGGTCTCATCTGCCGCACTTTTCTCCCTTGCCTTGTCAGAGACAAGGAAGGGCTCTACTGGACAGGCCCACATGTGGAGCCTGTATCTGGCTGCAAAATGCAAACCTGTGCTGGTCAGAGAGCTCATGGCACTGCGCAGCAGGGGGCGGTTCCATGGGGTACAAGGAGGGAGAAGCAGGCCAGACAGCCCTGAGGTCAAATCCTCTCCTTCTGCCCGTTCTTTCACCCCGCCGAGCCTCATAAAATGGGCTTCATAATAGCAGGAAGCTCACTTTCACTCAACACATAGTTGAGGATCTGTTATGAGCCAGGTGCTATTCCAGCTACCATGGATACGATGTGAAACACACCTAGAGCCCTGCCTCACCGAGCTTATTAAATGGTAGTCTTGGCCTGAGGATTACATGAAATGATGCATTCCAATACTTCAGTGAACATCCGTTGCTTTACGTTTGTGGGGCTCATGTTCCGATTTTCTGAGTGCTATTATGCCCAATTCCTCTTGTGCAAAAATCCACCTCCACGCTCATTATTATTGCTTGCAAAGTTGCCCACCCAACACCTATCTATCACCTGTCTATCACCTATCTATCTGACACCTGTCTGTCTATCTATCTATCTATCTATCTATCTATCTATCTATCTATCCATCCATCCATCCATCCCTTGGTTGCAGATCTGGGCAGGGACTCACATACTTGACTCACCCTGGTCTTTGGCTGTGATGCTGGTCCAGGATAAAACACATGGTCCATGTCCAGCCTCTTGGAGTCCTTCCCCCAAGATCTTCATTCTGAAGCTGGGCTGACAACCTGTCCCCTTTTCTCTTTGTTCACCACTCCTAAAACCAGGGCCTCCAGAACTGTTGGTGGCTTCAGCTCTCCCTGCAAAGGAACCCAAAAGAATGAGCCCCAACCTGGACTCAGGTGTGAGGACAGATGCAGAGCCTGGAGGCTGCAATCCCTCCTGCCTTTTCAAGCTCTAGTTGAAGGATCAATGTTTATCTTTTTTGTTTCTGAGCTATTTTGAGTTAGTATTTCATTTGTAACAAGAAGGTGTTTGATGAACACAAGTGGTTTCACATAGTAAGCATTCAAAAGGTTCCTCTCCCTTAGGAAGGGTGAATGTGCCAAGGACAAAGTGGGATGGAAAAATATGAAAGATTTGGAAAGGGGGAGCTCTTTGAAGTTTCTAAGTAGCTGGGCTTGTGTAGCCTGCATTCCCTACTGTGGCTAGTCTTTAGTTAAATTTGACGGAAGCACCAGGACCTCATCAACTTGCTCATTTTTATGTATCTGTAGACATTGATGGTTTTATCTGTCTGTCTATCTATCTACCTACCTACCTACCTACCTACCTATCTAAACTGTCTCTCTGTCTGTCTATCTATCTACCTAATCTAATGTTCTTTTGAGAGTTTCACCAATTCCAGCTGAGCTGAGAGGGAAGGGGTTTTGTAATTCTTCAAGATTGCTCAAGAGAGTGAGAGCTGGGCACTAGTGTGCCTCTGTGAATTTGGTAGTAGTTACAGCCATGGGCTATCTGTAGGAGAGGAAAGGGAAGTTTCTGGGGCATAGAAAGAACTCAAAGGGAATGGAAACTGGACAGATGAAAAAAAAAAATTGTATGTTCCTTCCTACAAGTCCTACAAGTCTCTCATTCCTTTTTTTTTTTTTTTTTTCCTTTGTTCTTACTTTGTTTTTCTCTAACCTCACTTGGGTCCTTTTCTTCTCTGCCCACCACCTCCCAGGAGGATGTACCGGGGAACACATCAGGCTCCAGTAACCACCATTCTGAACAAACACCTGTTCTTATGAGTTAATGTTTCTCCACTTTTGCCTGCAGAAACCATTTCCATTGCAGGGAATTCTAACACTGGCTTTCAGCCTTGGGGTAGCCAGTAAATCAGTCACAGTGGCTCAGCATGTCAAAAAACAAGGAAAAGAGCAGAAAATCATGGATGCTCACTCAGAAGCCTCCAGCTCTCATGTCTCTGGATCTGCAGCCAAATCCGTGGAAGGAAAAGCCAAGGCCCTCACTCAGGGCAGAACCGTAGCCTTCCTCCCATTCCCATGCTTGAGCAATGAGTGAACATCATACTATTTCAATGGCCTGGGTCCTGTTGGTCAGGACTAGACTTGATGGTAATAAGAAAAGAATCCGGCTACAGCTCACAGGGACATGCTGATAAAACATCCATCCAGGAGGAAGCAGTGTGACCCGTAATCCCAGGGACTCTATGGTGGGGGAAGGGAAAGGAAGGTATGTCACCATCAAATGTCGAGTCACAGCCTCTCTGAGTTTCAACTCTTTGTCTGAAAAAAATGAAGACAATAGTATTCACTTCGAGGGATTCGAATTCAATAAAAGCAACCCATGTGAAAACACTCAACACAGTGCAGGTACTGAGTGTAAATTGAAACTGGATATGTCCTATTGACTCTGTAGGTATACACACACATGAGCTCACGAACACATACACCTTCTAGGTGTGACCTGGATTCAGTTCAGATATTCTCCAATCTCATTTTAGTTGCTAGAGAAACAGACAGCATGAGTTGCTCCTCAGATGATGGTGTGATTCACCCCTGCCCAAACACCAGTGGTCAGAGACAAGCTCAGGCTTGTTCACAGTAGCACCAGAGCTCAGGGAAGTGGACCCCACCCAGTCTGAAGCTTTCAGCATAGGAGCTGGAACAACATGAAGTCTTCTTTCCACTCTGAGTTGACTGGAAAGTCCAAACATGGCATATTGTCTTGTTCTTGAGGAATTTTTTTTTTTTTTTTCTGAGACAGAGTCTCGCTCTGTCTCCCAGGCTAGAGTGAAGTGACGTGATCTCGGCTCACTGCAAGCTCCACCTCCCGGGTTCACACCATTCTCCTGCCTCAGCCTCCTGAGTAGCTGGGACTACAGGCGCCCACCACCATGCCTGGCTAATTTTTTTGTATTTTTAGTAGAGACGGGGTTTCTCTGTGTTAGCCAGGATGGTCTCGATCTCCTGACCTCGTGATCTGCCCACCTCGGCCTCCCAAAGTGCTGGGATTACAGGCGTGAGCCACCGCGCCCAGCCAGTCTTGAGCATTTTGTTTCAGGTAAAGTGTTCCTGATACAGGGTAAACAGAAAGGACTACAAACAACAGCTTAATTCAAAATGCAATTGTGCTACACACAAAGCAGCAAGGGAGGTGAGGCTAGAAAGCAAGGTGATATAATAGTTTGCAACACATGGGATTTGAAGCGAAATCTGAGCTCAAACCCTACAATGCCACCAGAACCCAAGTGACCATACATATGCTTCAGTTTACTCATCTGCAAAATGAGAATGTCAATAACCCCTTGTCTATTTTATAAGGTTGAGGTGAGGATCAAGTGAGATAGCATCACTGAAATCACTTTGCAAAATATTATATAGCTAGTAGTTATGACAGTTGTTATAAATGTGGAATGTGCACAAGAGAGTTGGAAATCTCAAAAAGCTGACTTATTACCATAGTCAAACCATTTTCTCTTGAAAATCTCAGATATAAAAGGTTAGGTGCATAATGGCAGATATCTTGCCCACAGGAACCCATTTTCATGAAAGGATAAAACTTTGAAGGATTCCTTCTTTTCCACCGGTATTCTACAAATAAAGATAGGAAGGAAGGCAAGGCTGTCTTGCTGGCTTCTGGGGTGGAGGACGCTGGGCTGGAGTGATGCCTACAACTTTGATCCTGGTGGGAGTCAGGAGCCTCTGGTGAGGGTTGTATATTTCACCAAAAGTGACAGGGACCTTGTTAGACATTCTTGCATTGAGGAGCTTGATGGATTGAACTCCTGGGGAGAATGTGGCGGCCGTGATCTGACATAAAGATGATAAATAACGTTTTTTTTTCTTAAATGATTACTGAAAACTTTACAGCTAGCCAAAGCTGGCTTTCTCAAAGCCCCTGGAGGAGAGATTTTATAAAGTGTCATTTAATTAACAAGGAGGTTATTGATTGCTGTCATGCATGGAGTACTGCACAAGCACCAGGTGAGAAAAAGGGGTGGAGGACCACAGGCACAGAGATGAAGGCAGGGGTGGGCCTGGGCTTGGACTGCAGCCTGGATAAAAACCAGGCCCCTGGAAACACTCTAGAATGCCAGTTAGGGCCAAAGCAGTCACTGTTTACCAGAGATGGTTAGAAGTGAAAGAGATGTTCTTATTTATAGACTGATTTAGAAAATTCACTGTCATTTTGAGATAAAAAGAGAGGCAGTGTGCTGTGATGGGAGGTTTTCCTGGCTAAAAATTAAAAGACAAGAACCCTCTAGTAACCTACGGTGCAGGCTAAAGAGACGCTTAACTTCTTGGGTTTTAGCATCTTCATCTCTAAAACGATAGAACTGGACTAAATGATCTCCAGGATTCCAACTCAAATATGAGGGGTTCTCAAAAACTTCATGGAAAATGTGTATTAAGAAAACACTGACTCTTCTCACATTGGAAGGTCCAGGCCTGACCGACAGACAATGCCACGGCATGGAGTCGCTGCTGGGCCTCTTCTTCCTCACCCACGTCCCCATCACCCTGTTCATGGCCCTGCAGGTGGTGCTGCTGCACGAGCTCTACCCAGTAGAGTTTAGAAACCTCCTGAAGTGGTATGCTAAGGAGTTCAAAGACACGCTGCTATGGGAGCCATCAGCCTGGTTTAAGTCCTTTCTATTTTACAAGCTTGTGTTTCAGCTGCCTTTCTTTCCCATTGCAACCCATGCCTTCCTCAAAGGAAGCTACAAGTGGATTTGAACCCCTGCAAATCATCTACTCAGTTCCCACCATGACGACTTTAATTCCAATACTCTCCACATTTCTGTTTGAGGATTTCTCCAAAGCCAGTGGTTTCAAAGGACAAAGACCTGAGACTCTGCATGAACGGTTAAGCCCTGTATCTGTCTATGCCCTCTACTTACTCATACCATTTGTCGTTTTAATGTTCATGTTGCAGAGCCCCTACAAGTATGAGGAGAAAAGAAAAAAAAAATGAGAGAAACAACCACTGGCCCAGGGTAAGAGATGCCTGCAGGGAGGTTGTTTGTTGGATACAATACAAGGAACACTGCTCAGAACCCACATCCTCAGCAACATTTGAAACACTGGCAGTAATGAGTAAGAGCAAGATGGTGTCAGAAACCACATCAAACCCTCACCTTATTCTTCTTCTTCTTTTTTTTAAAGACTGTCTCACTCTGTTGCCAAGACTGGAGTGAAGGGCAGTGGCATGATCTTGGCTCAGTGCAACCTCTGCCTCCTGGGCTCAAACGATCTTCCCTAGCCTCCCAAGTAGCTGGGACTACAGGCGTGCACCACCATGTATGGCTAATTTTTTTTCAGTTTTTGTTTTTGTTTTGTGGAGACGGGATTTCACCATGTTGCCCAGGTTGGTCTCAAACACCTAGGCTCAAGTGACCCACCCACCTCAGTCTTCCTAAGTGCTGGGATTACAGACGCTAATCCCTGGGCCCAGCCCAAACCTTCACCTTCTAAGGGCACTGGGATGAACGGACTGACCGACTTCAGAATGGGCAAAGAGGTGTGGGCTAGGTTATAGGGAAGAGGTACCAAATACCTATGTGCCGAAGTTCCACTGCAACATTACTAAAAGCAGGACAAAACCAGAAACTGCTAAAGAACTTGGCCTGCTTGACAAGTTCATGAGTCACCTGACCCACAGCAAATAGGCTTATTATGACTAAACCCTCCACTCCCGGTTCTCTAGAGTATATATCATCTATTAGCAAAATGAACACTGAGATGTCTTGGGCCATTTTAAAATGTCAAATTTTGCCTCTTTCATATTAATTCAAAACTATATCATGTTTTCTTGTCTGCACCTCTAACCCAAGGAGAAAAGACAAAATACTATGCAAAGGAAGTTTAAACTTAGTTTTCCTTAAGGTTCAGCCCTACAATGACTTTCAGTCAGAAATGGGTTAAACTGGAAAATGTTTTTGTGTCTGTTGCAAACAGATCATCGTAGAAGAATACTTTTTTTTTTTTTTTTTTTAAATTAAAGTTACTTTGCTGGCCAGGCACAGTGGCTCACGCCTGTAATCCCAGCACTTTGGGAGGCCAAGGTGGGTGGATCACCTATGTCAGGAGTTCAAGACCAGCCTGACCAACATGGTGAAACCCTGTTCCTACTAAAAAATATAAAAATTAGCCGGGCATGATGGCAGGTGCCTGTAATCCCAGCTACTCGGGAAGCTGAGGTAGGAGAATCACTTGAACCCAGGAGGCAGAGGTTGCAGTGACGTGAGATCATGCCATTGCACTCCAGCCTGGGTGACAGAGCAAGACTCCATCTCAAAAAAAAAAAAAAATTACTTTGTTTATTCTATTTCTAAATCTTAGTCTTCCTCATTTTTAGAGGCTACCTGACATAAGTCCCTTTATCTGAAGTCTAGCATCTCAAGCCTCATCTGGAAGTATGCTCCCTAGTGGCTAACTTCGTTCTTCTAATACAGTTCAATCATTCCCATCTTGTTCTAAGAAGGGAAGGTGGCAGCTGCCAGGCATAACATAGCCACTGTGTACATATAGGGTGTCTTCACGTTGGTGCTTGGCATTCCATCAGCTTTCTCCAAGTTTGTACTCAAGTCTGACCTTAAAATGATGTTAGACGATAGTTTAACATTTGAACAGTTTAACATTTAAATAGTTTAACATTTAAACATCCCGGTCAGTTTCCTCTATTTTCACCCATTTTGCTCACAAGCCATATTGGTCTGACTCACATGTCTAATCCAAATAAAGGTAGCTGCTGACCACTTAAAAAAAAATACACACACACACCATGCATGGATTTAAAAAAAATTTGTGCACCCAAACTCATACTAATTTGTTATAATGTGTCTGAACAGGATCAAGTTTGAGGTACCAAGGAGGAGAAAATATCAGTTTGTAAAGAATCTCTATCAGAGCAACATGAATTTTGCTAAAATTGAAGCAAGAATGAACCTCAAATTTATGGTGAAGCTTGAGTAAAAGAATAGTGAAATCACTGATGCTTTATGAAAAGTTTCTGGGGGCATATCTCAAAAGAAATCAGCAGTTTACAAATGGGTAACTCATTTTAAGAAGAGATGATGTTGAAGATGAAGCCCACAGCAGCAGACCATCCTCATTGATTTGCGAGGAAAATATTCATCTTATTCATGCCCTAATTAAAGAAGACCAATGATTAACAGCACAAACAATAGCCAACACCATAGACACCTCCGTTGGTTCAGCTTACACAATTCTGACTGGAAAATTAAGGTTGAGCAAGCTTTTCACTTGATGAGTGCCCAGTCAGTTGCCAACAAGAGCAGAACTTTCAATGGAAATTTTAAACAAGTGGGATCAAGACTGTGAAGCATTTCTTCAAAGAATTGTGACAGGGGATAAAACATGGCTGTACCAGTACCATCCTGAAAAGAAAGCACAATCAAAGCAATGGCTACCAAGAGGTGGAATGGTCCAGTCAAAGCAAAAGTGGACCAGTTTCTTGGGATACTCAGGCACTTTGCTCATTGACTTTCTGGAGGGACAAAGAATAATAACATCTGCTTAGAAAGCGAGTGCTTTGAAAAAGTTAGCCAAAGCTTTCACAGAAAACCCCCAGGGAAGCTCCACCAGAAAGTCCTTCTCCACTGTAACAATGCTTCCACTGATTCCTTTCATCAAATAAAGGCAATTTTGTGAGTGCTTTGATGGGAAATCATTAGTCATCTTCCTTATAGTCCTGATTTGGCTCTTTATGACTTCATTTTGTTTCCTAAAATTAGAAGATGTAAAGCATACTAGGTTTTCTTAATAATGTAAAATAATTATATTATTATAGTTACATTGTTAATAATTAATAATGTAAAAAAGACTGCACTGACATGATTAAGTTCCCAGGAGCCTCAATTCTCTAGAAATGGGCTAAATAACTGATCTCATCGCTTACAAAAAAGAGTCTTGAACTTGATAGAGATTGTGTTGAAAAATAGTTTATATTTTCAGTTTTGTCTTTTAATTCCACTTTTCTACAAACTTTTTAAAGTTCCCTCATATTCTATTTTATTCTGAATTGCTCACAAGGGAATGGGATAAGGCAAAAAAAAAAAAAATCCCATTTTGTCTATGGCTTTCTCTGGCTGAGTTCCTCAAAGAGAGAACACAGATAAATGCTAGTGTGAGTTCAACCATAACAATTATAGAGAAAAGAATAGAGCTGAACTCAAAATAGGCATCAGGGGGATATACTGACATTGGCAAACCTTAAGTTCTGTGTTCTAAAGTTTGGGGGCCCATCTTTTCATTGAGCTGGTGAGCATCTCCTGTTATGGAAATTGAATCTGTGGCTTCCTGATCCTAGTGGCATTAAACATTCTCTGACCAAGAACACTAGGTTATGCCAGATATCTCTCATCCTGGTTGGTGAGGCATTGTACAGAATGACTTCAGGAGCTTCAAGCTGAAAGATGAAACAACTTGGTATTTAGGATAAATGGGATTGGGTTTGAATCTTGGCTTTGCAACTTATTAGCTGTACAATTTTAAGCAAGTTGGTGTCTCTCAGCTTAATGATACTAATGCATATCTGCATGGGTTGCCATAAGGATTTAGAAGAATGATGTACGTAATAGTACAGTGTCTGGAAGAGAGTAGATTCAGTAAAATATTGCTTTTCCTTCTCTTTCCCTGCTTTCTTGCTATTTTTAAAACTGTAGAAAACAGGTTATCCACCTGGTGAATGATGCCAAGGCAGCAGAGAACAGTACACTGATGGATAACCTCATGCTACTTGTAAGATCTCAGTCAGCAGCATTAATGACTAAAATAAACCTACTTGGTTTTAACAGCAATTAATGTATGGTTCATATTTGGCATCAGATTCAGAAGACTTGAAGCGAACAACACTTTTCAACAAAAAAAAAACCTTAGGTTTCGGTGGACCACAAGCTCAGCATGGGCCAACAGTGTGATGAGGCTGCTCAAAAAAGTAACTGGAACTTTTACTAATGAGTAGTAATTTATGGATCAAGGGAATGTAAGCATATCATTGATTTCTGGTAGATTGTAGCCAATTCTGGATGTTACGCACATTTAGGTACCACACTGGTAAAAATGAAGTTTCCTAAGAGGGTAGCATCACAGCATTCAGCACATCATAGGTGTTGAAAAATCGTTATGGGATCCAAAAATATTGAGATTGGAGTACCATAATAGCCATGCCCTTTGCTAGTTCATATATAGCCTTTGTGCAAAAAGAGAAAAGCTGCTCTCCACAAGTAGGGGAAGCCTCACATCAGGTTTTCCACTCACACTACTCTGCACAGCCATATTCCCTTGTTCAGTGCACAACTTACACAATTGTATGTGGCAACCCTGATGATAGCAAGACTTGAATTCTTGATGAGCTGCCTTGTGGAAGATGGTGTAGAATTTTTCTGTGTATCCATGCAGAGCAGAACCTGGGCGACTGGTGGGAAGGAGTTATAGAGAGACAGTGTTAGGCCTAAGAGAATTCCCTAATGATGATAGGCTAATGACTGTTGTAACTCCAGTGGAGGCCTGAACAAATCAAAAGAAAGAGTATGTCGATCTGAAGAAAATTAGTCACAGAGAAACCAGATCCCTTAAATCTAGCAGTGGCACTGCCAGTTCCGCGAATGGGACAAAGGATTCTAGGCCAACAGAGTATCCCCTCCCAATGGCAAGGCCATCCTAATGTGGAAATGGGTGCCAGGAGCTGAGTTCAATAGAGTCTTTGTATTCCCTGGGGCACTGGCCTGATTAAGCTTAACAGGTGACAGTGATCAGATTGCGGTTGGCTGAGCCACTGAGTGGACCATCCTGTTGATGAACTTCTCTCCTCTGGTTCTAAGCTCTCAAGACATTTTTATTTTGATTTGACTCCACACACAGGTTTACTAACAGGTGCAGTTTCTGGAACGACTATATTTCTGGCTGTAAATGAATACAATTACAGTCACATTGTAATTTGCTGTCCCCTGAAACGTGACTTCGTACTACTGTAAGTCAATCATTTGGGATTCTTGTTACAGATATCAGCTTATTGGATGCAACTGCTTTTCAAATGAGGGTGATGTG